GTTATGGGGACTTATCTTCCTGGCACTGGAACCATGGGCTGGGTGGTTTGGTCTGGGGCTGGGATTGTTCACTCCTCAGGTATCCCTCCCAATTTTTATCCACCACATATGAATGTGGGAAAGCCCATTCAGCCACCTCTCCACATCTCCCCATGCCTCTATGCACCCCCATGTAAACACCTCTCCTACCCATCTGAATGAATGTGGCTCCTTTAAATCCTTGGTTGTCATACTTCCATAGAGCTCAATTATCTGACAAAGCCAGGTGAAATTTGTTTGTAGTCCAGTTATAATTTTTGCTGTAGTTGTGCATGGAGGTAAAGTGTGTTTATCTATACTCCCATCTTCACTGGAAGTCAAATGCCTAGAATGTAAGATGCCTGAGTGCACAGGTTTCCTTTATCTGTTTTGTTCATGGATATATGTTCAATGTCTTGAACAGTGTCTGGCACATAGTAGGTACTCAATAAATACTAGTTAGTTGACAAAATGAATGTTTTTATAAAAATAGAAACAAAGTGGCATAAAATTCTATCCCACATTCAAGTTTGTAGTACCTGGTCATATGCCAATAATTTTTCAAAGTAGATACATAGACCAAATAAAATTATACAATCCTTCCACTGAAAGTGTCCATTTCGATAGCCCTAAAGTTCCTTATCTCATTTACTTCTTGTTGAAATTTGTAATTTTGAGAATGACATTTGAGAATGGCACTTAATACAAAAGGCTTTAAGTAAAAAAAAAAGGGGGGGCTTTAAGTAATTAGGAAATAAATTATATAACTGATACCTATCTAGAAGGTAACTAAGAAGAAAATATTCCTAAAACAAAATCTACTCCTTATATACACATTTAAGCATTAATTGTAATAATACAGACACATTGAAAATTTTCCAAGCATGCATAAAAGTTCATTTTCCCAGCTACACTCTTTTTTCCTTGGTGATGGCAGATACCAGTCTTCAAACAAACTATAGGTGACGTTCCAAGCCTCAGATTTATCTTCATGTTATTGGTTTTACTGTAACCTTCTTTTCAAGGAACAATTTTTTCATCAGGTAATTCCAACGACAACTGAAAAGGAACATAATTTGCCTGTTTTCATAAAATCACAAGTGTAAATGATTCCAGTACACTTGCTGTGTTTCCTGTTTTTTTTTTTGAAAGCTCATCCCACATCTTTTTCTTCACAAGTATTTACTTTTGAAATTGCATGTTTCATTTTATATTCCCAATGGATTCACAGCAAAAATTTTAACAATATAAACAATTTTTTAGTGCACATTCCTTTCCTGCTTTCAGAGCACCTGAATTTTCTAGGAATGTTCAAGGTCTCAATGCATGGAGCTTGTATTAGTGTCTCAATGCATGGAGCTCACCTACCATCGCCTTGAGAAGCTTAATCATCTTTTAAAGAGTTTTTTCCTTGTAGTGGCTCTAGGTACTCATCCATGAGATCCTTAAAAAACAGGAACATTTTCCTTTATTGTAGACCCATCACCTGACATAAACCCATAAACATGATAGGTACTCACTCAATAAATACTTGCTCAATTAATGAAGGCATCTAGTCTTGGAGGTTTTCTGCTCCTAACACTAACTGCCTTAAGACTTGGTCCCAAAAGCATCATGACCACTGTTTTTTTTGCTTATCTCGGCTATCACCATAATTGTCTACCCATCCCTGTGATTCATTCTGGACAACTGAAATGACATTCAGTTCAACAATGTTTGAATATCCAACAATTTTTATTGAGTGTCATCTGGGATTAATGCTGTTCTGGGCACTAGAAATAGAGTTGTGAGCAAGTCAGAAAGGGCTCCTGTCTTCCTGTAGATTATATTCTAGGGAGGAATGAAAGACAATATACAATCCAGGCCATAGCAGATAGTGGTAAGGACTATTAAAAAAGAATTAAAATAGGACCAAGTGATAGAATGTGACTGGGTGGCTACTTAGAGTGTGTAGTCAGAAATGTTCTCTTTGAGGAGGTGCCAGGTAAACTGAAATGTAAATGACAAGACGGAGCCAGCCAAGTAAAGATCAGGGTAAGAACACCCAGGAAGACAAAACAGCTCTGCAAAGGTCTTGACTGGAAGAACAGTTGTCTAGACAGTGTGGGTAGAAAGTAGTAAGCAAGGAGAAGAGTGGGAGAGGAAGTCATGGAGATAAAGAGAACAGACTCACTCATAAGCAGGGTAAGAAGTGTGGATTTCTTATTTGAAGCCATGGACATAACTGGAGGGTTTTAAACCCAGGAGCAATAGAATCTAATGTGCAGGGGAGGGAGGGGTGTTAGATTTTATTTATTTATTTTTAGAGAGATGGGAAGGGAGGGAGAAAGAGAGGGAGGAGAAGCATTGATGTGTGAAAGACAGAATACCAGTTGCCCCCAATCAGGGACCTGGCCTGCAACCAAAGCATGTGCCCTGACCAGGAATCGAACCAGCAACCCTTTGGTTCACAGGCCCACGCTTAAACCACTGAGCCACACCAGCCAGGGCTAATTTCTGCTTTTAAAATAATATTAGCTTCTACTGTAAGAATACATCATAATAGGTAAGAATGAATGTCATTCTTGTATTAAGGAGATTGCCCCTCTAGGCATGGCACTTATCACAGGAATAACAACTAGGCAAATGACATCTTTCTGGAGTCTTCCTTGTTTTTACTCCCCCAGAAAGCTAACCTAGGCCTGTTTTCTATACCATGATGTTATATATTAAAAATTCTGTCTCCTAGGAGTCCCTTGATGCTTCCAAGGAATGAGCTGGTAGGAATATGCACGCAAGTGTGCAGGAGTCGGTGATATCAAAGTATGCAAGAGGTCATGGAGGCTGTTCAGGGCAAGTGTTCACGGCTAGGGATGGGCACTGTAGGGAGAAAAGCACCTCACTTCTGAGCCTGTCCTTGGCGCACCGGGTGAAATGCTGAAGCCATTTGCTGACAGCATGTGTGTGGTGTGTTTGCTGTGTTTGTAACTATGTCTCTTTCATGTGCTTCCCAGTCATTGCTTCTTAAAGCCTTCTCCTCATAGTCTGAACATATAGCAGGTTTGTAAACTCTGCTAACTTAAGTTAAACATTACAAAAAAGAGCTACTTTTTGGAGAATGTGCTCAATGGGAGCAGATGCCCCTAGGGGCCCCATACTCCATCAGCTCTGCTTCTGTCTGTACTACCACAATAACAGAATCCACCTGGATTTGTTCACACCTATATCCCTAACACATAGAACAGAAACTGGCACATAATAGATGCTGAAGAAATATTTACTAAGAGGTTGAATCAGTTGGTTTTTGTCCTGTGTTGTCTCCTGCCAGGACCCCACCTGTATTGTATGCCCTCCCTATGACCAGCACCCCTAGTCCATCAATTTCTTTATGCTCACTCGACTCACAATGTTTACATTCTGAAGGGAAAGAGGCAGTATAGAAATAAAAGTTTTGAAGACACAGGAGAGTGCCCTTTACAGCTGTCTTCCCAAAGTTACCTGCAAGGGATCCAGGAGAATCAACAGTAGACCCTAGCACTGACATGCATATTTATGCTTGTAGAGGGGAAAGGATCTGCTAGGTGCTTTCAATCACAAGACTGAAAAGCTGATGACCACACAGAATCACTTCAGGGAAATCCAAGAGAAATTTACACAAAAGGGAGTAGAAAAAATTAAAGATCTGATGCTGGCCTGGAAGAAGAGGTAACACCTGTGCAGGAGCTTTAAGCTAGACTTTGAAAGGTACGTCACGTAATCACTAACAAGCTTGCAGGATGTTAGGGTGGTGACACAGGCTGTGAAAGAATTCACAAAAAGAGCAAATTACAAAAAACTAAGTTTTTATTTTATTTTCCCAAGAGAGGGAAAGGGCTAGGTGTGCAGATATGCACGGGCACTGAGGGGTGGGGGCTTTGAACTTTTATTGGATTGTAATGGGATTAAAAGGGGTTAGGAGGTTGCTGTTGTGTGGCCCCTCGGTTGTTAGGACACTGTAACAGGGGCTGCAGTTTGTTCCAATGTTTTCTTCTGCCAGGGGCAGTAGAGAGTGGTTAGTTCTGTTCTTGCTTCCAGTAATTTCCAGTCCTGGGGACACACTCGGAAGAGTAAGATGGCAGTCATGTTTAACAAGGGCACAGGCCTGCTCAGCAAATGGTGCCACAATAGCAGATGGCGCTGACTTTGGCCTTTCACAAGAAGGCTCCCAAAATTGGAGGTGGGTTAACCGGAAGTGAGTCAAGTATTGCCAAGAAAGTAAAACTTTTAAACCAAGGCATAAAGTTTCAAAGTAGTGGTATATATAAGGTCTCCTGAGACTGACTGCAGTGACTTGTAGGACCTTTTCGAAAGAGACTGTGCATATATTCATACTCACACACATCCACACACAGAATGTGCCATTCTGTTTATATTGGTGTAATAGCCATCTTGTGCTGGGCGGGGGGGCAAAAAAAAAACTGGGTCATACAGATCTTTGTCCCTATGGATTTGTACACTGACCTTTAGAAATCAAACGCTCATTTTCAATAAATGGTATTGGTGCTCACATTAAAAATTAGTCTTTCTTTTCTAATCAATAAAAGCTATTATTTAATACCTCAAGCCATCAATTTTGTGTAGAAATAACACAAACTGAAAATTTGTTTTCCTTTCCCTGATTTAGAAATCCTGGTTAGTTTAGCCAGCTACTCTGGGCCAGCAATGCCTCCTTAAATGCTGGACTTGTGTGTAACAGACAGCCTAGCTGACAAGATTTTCCTAACAAAATCAAAATAATTCTAATGACAAAAGCAAGCTTGGCCCTTAGTCCCTTTAACTACTTGGTTCTCCTTCCCCGTTGATTTCCTTTACCAAGATGGCCGCCCTCATGCTCTCTCCTCATTGGTTGGATTTTCAGTAGCCCCTCCCATCAGCTCCATAGGCCCTAGGTCCTAAATTTTGGGGAATGTAGTTTATCCGGACGAGCGGGAGTGGACCGCGCGGCCGCCGGATGTGACGTTTACGGAAGCTCGGAAGCTCCGAGTGCCGTCCGCAGGGACAGGTTGGGAAGGGTCCGGGTATGTGGTGGGCCCCGGTCTCTGAGCGTGGTCGGACTCAAGGGGAGCATCCGCCGTGAGTGTGGGGCTTAGCGCCTTCGCCTCCCCTGGGTCCCCTGCCCGGCCCGCCGCGCGCAAAGGCCCTGCCGGCTCCTGGATCCTGTCCCCCGCTGGGCCCAGCGCGTCCCCGCCTATCACACTCGAAAAACCTGAAGACCTTGGATGATATTTGTCCCAGTTGGCAACTTGGGCTTGAGTGCCTTCAAAGAGGGGCCTCAGGCGGTTGTCAGGAGGCCCCCCGTCCGCTGCATACGCCCCCTCCGGTCATTCCTGCTGCTGCTTTTCTCCTTTTCGTCTTTCCCCCTCAGTCCTTTACGACCCCTTCTCCCTTGTTTACGGATGCTGATTTCCTTTCTGGAGAGTTGTTTGGGCCTGCAGTACGGGGCACCGCTTGCTGCCCTCAGGAGAGGGTTGCAGTCGTGACCCCAAACATCCTCTCCCGAGAGGTACTGAGGTACAACAAGCATCCTCCGCTTCGGTTAGCTTTAAATGGGCCCGGGACAGAGTATACTAATTAGGCAAATTGGGGAGATTTTAGATTTGCTTAGGCTTTCTGAGGTCTTAAAAAGGCTTTGTTGGAGATGGAATGCCTTGCATCCTTGGCAGCACCCACAGCTTTTGTACTATTAGGGTGTTTTAGAAAGGAAGCTTAGTGGAGGAAATGTGACCTGGAGACAAAATTGGCGGGGAGAGAACTCTGAGGGAGGGGCTGCAGTGGGAAACAACAACAGTGGATGAACAAGTGAAATTGAAATGTGAGGATTTCTGGGCAGATCAGAGTCCTGACTGAAGCAAATGATCTCCTTTGGGAAGGGGTAAGGTTTAAAATTAAAAGGACAACATAGGGCCAGGTGACAGAGGGCCTTGAATTCCAAAGGGAATTCTACTATAGCTTAATATATTCAGAGCATGCTGGTTAGTATGTGCTGTAATTCAATATATATCAAATATCCAGATTCTTTTTGGAAATGATGCAGAGTGATACCTGATTGGAAGCTGGAATCCGATTCTGACAACAACAATATCTGCAAAGATCGTAGAATTATTGCAGTTTGAGACCCAGGAAGGGAAAGTACCCAGGTTTTCTTGCTGCCAGGTTACCTTGTGCCCTTTTGTTATTCAACGAGTCCTTAGTCTGTGAAGATACATTTGGGTGAATTGTTTTCAAGATCTAAATTCCTTGCACTGGTATGATGAATGATGTAGATTGACTGGAATAGTGGTTTAGTGAGCAAATTAGGATTATGAGCATTCATTCCCAGACCAGTTTCCCTAACTAACCTTCCCTAGCTAACACCATAGGAAAATGTCAGTTTACTCTCAGGCTCAATAAAAATAATCAGACTTGAAGTGCATTAACAATCACCATGAAAGTTCATTGAGTATACTCTGCCAGGTACTGGGGTAGATAGAATGGGTAGCTGGGAGGAGAAACAATGCCAGAAATATAAGATGCTGTCCCTCCTCTTATATAGTGCTGAAAGCAGGGCCACCTAGAGACAGAAAAATTAGCATGAAGGGTAGAACTAAACCCCTGTGGCCCAGTATAGTTATATTCCCTGTACCACCTAATTATGGCACAGGGACTGTGGGTTTTTGAGTCTGCCAATCTTCATCATTGTGATAGGGGCTTCTGTGTGGGTCTCAGCCTTCTTGTAGGAGACATTATCTGATACGAGCCACAGCATGTGGTATTTTCCTCCCAGTGTGCTGGGTTGTAATGGGATGATGTAGTCCATGATGTTGATGTCGTCTTTTTTTCTGTTTCTTGTCTCAGAACTTGGTCCTGATGTCTGATCATGGAGATGTGAGCCTTCCTCCCGAAGACCGGGTGAGGGCTCTCTCCCAGATGGGTAGCACAGTGGAGATAAATGAAGACATCCCACCCCGACGGTACTTCCGCTCTGGAGTCGAGATTATCCGAATGGCATCCATTTACTCTGAGGAAGGCAACATTGAGCATGCCTTCATTCTCTATAACAAGTATATCACGTAAGACACCTCCAGTTACTTTTTTCTTTTCCAGTGACTGATGCTTCACTCACTCTGCTTTTGTGCTCATTTATTTGTTCAGAATTGCTAAAGCTAGAGAACTTTACATCATTAGCATTAATCATTTTTGCTGGCAGCTCCTACATATTAGCTGTCCTTGATATTCAAAGACATGAGTACTGAAAGAGTTATCTCCATGATTCAGTATTTCATGAGTCAAAGACCTAGCTCTTTGGCCTGTGCCAGCTGTTAGGCAAGAGAGTTGGTGGTTGAACTGTCCATGTTTTGTATTGATGAATGTTTTTCCTCTCCTCTATTAATCATAGGATTGATGATAAAGCTTTGCAGAACCAAAATTCCTCACCTCTTCTTATTTAGTAGCAAATTGAGTGGTTTAGGGAAAAGTTTTTTAACTTGTTTCTTAACTTTTATTATGCAAATCATCAAACAAGTGTTGAATATCTACAGCTTGTGTGGCTCCCTTTGCTTGCTTAGCATCTTAGGGTTTAGCAGCATAAATAAAAGATTTCTGTACAATTAACAGGGAACAGCTCCTAAAGCCCCAGTGATGTGTAATTTAGGAAGGGAGTAATGTTACAGGGTCTCATTTATAATTCCTAGTCTTCTTTGGTAATACCAGGACCTTTTAAAAATAGTAATAGTATATTTGTATGGCTTTTGATAGTTCACAGAGCATTTTGCCTGCATTATTTCATTTGATCTTCCCGGTTCTGTGTGTGTTTAGTAGTGCACATCATCCTCCCATTCTACAGGTGAGGAGACAAGCCCAGCGTTCAGCAGTGTACTTCATGCCCTATTTCGGAATGACAAAACCCAATATGGATTCTGTCCTTTTTGTTTTCCTTTTGATAATATTCTGTTTTTTGAGATCATAGTCTTGAGCCACACTGACTATTTTTAAATTATTTTTTATTATTGTTTTTGAATAGGTAACACATACATATGGTGTGGAATTCAGAAGGCACAATAGGGTATAAATATTTAAAAACATAAGTATTTAAAAACTACGTCTCCTGCCACTCCTCTTTGCAGACATTCACTTGTATTAGTTTCCCATATGTCCTCCCAGAGGTGATATATGCTTATCAATAATGGCACAATAAGCTTTTGATCACATACCACTGGAAAACAGGGTATATCAGCGTTGGCGTCATTTACATCTTGGGCTGAGCAATTGTTTGTTGTGGAGACTATCCTGTTCATTGTAGGGTGTTTATCCGTAGCCCTGGTCCCTCCCACTGAGTGCCAGCAGCACCTCCTGCCCCCCCTAGCTGTGACAGCCAAAAATGTCTCTGGACATTACTTAATGTTCTCTGAGGAATAAAGTTGCCTTGGTTGGTAACCAGTACTCTGAAGAAAAGTTGGAGTTAAGAGGGGACAGTCTAGGACTCATACTGTGATTTTAGAATGGCGAAAAGGGACTGCTGTTGTCCTTTTTACTTAAGTCTAGAAGCAGTGCCTGTTTTCTCAAAGATCTTAAATTCCATCCACGCCATCATGCCTCATCTTGTGGCCTCAATGTTGATAAAGTTTCATAGAATTGTAATTACATTTTGGCCTCTCTTTACTGTAATAAGTTTTTCATTCCTAGGCACAGTGGGCACACAATTTATTTTCTTGAGAAGTTTTTTTGGCTCCTAGCCGTGTCTTCATATATTCTGCTGCTGGTAGAAATAGTATTCTTGTATATTGTCAGTAATCTTGTAGATAGTTCTCTCAGAATGAAACCCAAGGGCATAATTCCTTAGGGAGACTTCAGTAGAACCGTGAAATGACTCTACCAGGTATTTTTTAAGGGACTTCCAGGTCCTGTTGCCCCACATAGAAAGTGCTTTGAGGTCAAAGACCATATTCATTTAACAAATAAGTATTGTGTATACCTACCATATACTTGGCACTGTGTGAGGGCCTGCATACATAACACATAAAATGGCCCCTACCTTTATTGGTGTACCTTTTTGGATATGAGAGAAGACAACAAATAAGTAAGCAAATAACTATAGTCACAAAATGAAAAAAATGCTATGAAAGCAACATACAGAGTGTTGTGACAGAGAATAACCAATATCTAATTAATTAGAGTAGTCAGGGTAAGGTCTGTCTGAGAAGATGAGATTTAAACTGAGACTTGAAGGATACAGTAGCGTTGGCCATTGTGTTTGGAGTGTAGCAAGTGAGGGAACAGGATGACTGCAGATGAGATCAGAGAGGCAGGAAGGAATGAATCTTGTAGAACTGTATAGGCCGTGGTAATGAGTTTGCATTTTACCTGGAGAGCAATAGAAAACCACTGAAAAGTTTTAAGTGAGGTTGTGACTTTAAATCTTATCTTACTTTATTCTAAAAATATAAATTTTGGCTACCATGTGGTGAATAGTTGAGGGAGTGTTCAGAGAAGACAGGGAGATTAGTTAGGGAACAAAACCGTTCAGGAGGGAGGCTGGTGGCTTGAAGGACGGTGGTGACCTGGAAAGAAGCGGGTGGATTTGGCATTCTGGAGGTGGAGTCCATGGGACCTAGTTATAGTTTAGGAAAGATTATGTCAAGATTGACCTCAGCTTTCTTCCTTGAGTCATGTGGGATGTGTTGGTATGTTTATTGAGATGGAGAGAGTGGTATTGAAAGGGGAAGTTTCAAGAGTTCAAGTTGACATGTTAAGATGTTAAGTTTGGGATGCCTGTGAATTATCCAAGTAGAGATGTGCAGTAGGAGGTTGGATGCACCAGTCAGCCTGAACTTAGAAAAGTCTGAGTTGGAAATACAAATGCAGGAGTCCTCAGTATACAGCGGTTCTGGAACCTTGAGAACCACTGAGACCTTCTCATACAGAGGTTCTTTTTTTTATTTTTTAAAAGATTTTATTTATTTATTTTTAGGGAGGGAAGGGAGGGAGAAAGAGAGAGAGAAACATCAATGTGCGATTGCTGGGGGCCGTGGCCTGTAACCCAGGCATGTGTCCTGACTGGGAATCGAACCTGCGACACTTTGGTTCGCAGCCCGTGCTCATCATACAGAGGTTCTTAATCGGGAGTCCAGGAACTCCACAGTGATTCATAGATGGAGTTTGGAGTCCATTCTTGGTTGGGGAAAACTTTTCTTACTTTTACTAACCTCCAACTGAAATTTACCATTTCCTTCGATTTTGAATATAGGCCTCAAATAACAGCAGTATTAATAATATAGGCATACCTCAGAGATATTGTGGGTTCAGTTCCAGACACTGCATTAAAGTGAATTGTGCGGTAAAGTGAGTCACATGAACTTTTTGGTTTCCTAGTACATATTAACATGTAATTACATATTCTAAGTACATATTAACTTATTAACATAACTATAACATATAGTTATGTTTACACTATATTGTGGTCTATTAAGTATGCAATAGCCTATGTCTAAAAAACACAGTGTATAATACATACCTTTATTTAAAAATACGTCATTGCTAATAATCTAACCATCATCTGAGCCTTCAGCGAGTTGTAATCTTTTTGCTGGTAGAGAGGATCTTGCCTTAATGTTGATGAAAACATCTGCAAAGCACAATAAAATGAGGTATGCCTGTATTTGTAATTTTGTCACCAATAGAAATCAAGATATTTTCATTTTACGTTACAATTTTTACTGATATCTCAAGGTAGCATTTATACTTACCACTACCTCATAGTGCAGAATTACTAAACCCATGACTAGGTCCTGTTTTTAATGCATTAATAAATGCATTAACAATACATTGATGTATGCATTAATAAAGAACACATCAGTGAAGAAGTTCATATCACAATATTTCATATTTTGAAAACCGTATTTCAGTAGAATTGGCTTCTTTTGTAATTCTTTGTATCTTAAGTTATTACGAGGAGGAATCTATAGGTTTCATCAGATGCCAGAAGGATCCATGGTACATAAAAGGATCAAGAATCGTTGATCATGAGACTATAGAATGAGAGAAGGAGCCTGAGCTGGAACCCTGAGTTTGGTTAGTGAAGGGAGGACCAGGAAAGGAGACTTTGAGGAAAGTTGGAGAGGCAGGAACAAGTCCAGAAGAGGGTGGTGCCATGAGAGCCAATAAAGGTCAGTGTTTGCAGAGAGGAGCCAGCTGGATCAGATGGGTCAGATGGGTGAGGATTTGGGTTTGGTAACATAACGTCATTGGTGATTTTGGTAAGTGATTTCACTAGAAAGATTAAAAACACACTAGATTAGAGTGGGTTGAAAGGTGAATGGACAGTAAGAAAGTAGAGACAGTGACTATGCTGCCAGCCCGCTTTTTTGGTAAAGGGCCACATAGTAAGTATTTTTGGCTTTGCAGGCGCCTTGATCTCTGTCATGACCTCTGCTTGTAGTGTGAAAGCAGCCGTAGACAACACGTGAATGAGAGAGTATGGCTGTGTTCCAATGAAACTTTATTTACAAAAACAGAGCTGGATTTGACCCACTAGTGCAGTTTGCCAAGACCTGACATAGACAGTGCTTTGTAGAGGTTGGATTGGAGGCAAAGTGGAAAAATGAGGAAGTAACTGAAGGGAGACAAGGAGTACCTGAAAATGTGTTATGTATTTTAAGATGGAAGATTCTAGAGCATATTTTTTTGCTGATGAAAAAGATCCCGTGGAGAAGGAGAGACTGCTGTTACAGAAAAGATAGTATTTAACTGTAGCAATAAACTCCTAAATAGGCAAGAGGGGGTTGGATTAAGAGTACACAGATTCTTAAGGCATTGATATTTCTCTGTGACTCAGTGTTACTTTGAGTGACATGAATGTTAGTGTTAATAGCCAGACTGATGGGTAGTCTGTTCCTGTATGTGGTTCCCATTTACTATGATGAACTAGGCCTAGAGGAGAGTTGAATGAGAAAGAGATGAGATGTAGCAGCTCATTTACTTAATTTGTTAAATTTGGGGGTTAATTTGGGATTTTGTTGACCTGGATCAATAAATATTGCTACCTTCATTTTTCTTGCAGATACCCTTAAGACCCTAATTCTGATTCTGTGAAACAACAAGCCCTGAGAGTAAGAAAAAAGTTCTAGCTCAGGATTCTCATTCTGTTTTTTTTAGGACATTTTACTTGGTCTATTTCTGTCAGTAACAATGGCTCACTTTGGCAATTATTACAACTGAGGAAGGATGAGGGCAGGCATCCACGTCACCACTCCTCCGCCTCCCCCAATATTGGGAGTCATCATTCTAGACCTTTTGTGGATCCTTCAATTCCGGAGTTTAAAAGGCATGTTTTTTCTTTTCCCTGGAGCAGTTCAGGCATCTGAATGATCTCAAGCACATTCCCCACTCAGAGATTTTCCCTGCTGTAGGAATGCTTTGCCTTTTGCAGACCCCGGTATAGGAGAAGCATTTTGCACACATTAAAGCAGTGCATAGTTTCATGATGAGCACAGCCAATAATCCAGGCAGTGGATTCTTTCACAGCTTTTTATGGTCATTGACTAGGCTACACAGAAGGTAGTTACAGAAGGCATAAGCAGTTCCTGTCAGCTGTGTGAGCCTCCTAAAACTCAAACCCACTTTCTGAAAATGGTCTGTCACCAGCACTGAAAATGCTTACAACTGGCATTGGAGCTCATAGACTGAAGAGTTCTTCATCTGTGATTGTGCTGACTTGGCTGATTAACTCTTTGAGACTAGAAGAAGTGAAATGAGAGGCCTTAATATTCTCATGTTATATAATTTCTGCCTGACTTTCTGAATTATTTTTTACAAAATTAATATTTGTACATTGACTAAAACTATTTTTTCCAAAACATACAGCAAGGGAAATATTACAGTGAAAAGTGTCATCTCCCAGAGGTAAAACTGTTGTTTCTTGTACATATATACTACAAGAAAATGTTTATGCCATGCAAGCACATGGACTCACATGTTTATCCTTTTTTCTTAAAGCATGAATGAAATCATATAATCTATTTTGTTCTACAACTTGCTTTCTTAACAGCCTGTCTGTCTTTCCATATCAGGACATACTGATTCACCTCACTGTCTCGGCTATTTTTTCTGCCTGGAACAATCTTATCCCTGATCTCTTCCTGCCTCCCTCTCTTCCCGTTTGTACTTAAATGCCACCTTGCCAGTGATGCCCTTAGCTGCCCTATCTAAAGTCTCAGCCCCTACCCCCTTCACTTCCTATTTCCCTTCTCTATAATGACTTTTCCTTGCGCTGATTATCTGCATACTTTTTGTTTTGTTTATTGTCTGTTCCCCCACTACAGTGTACACTCTTTGGGGAGGAATTTATGACTGTTCACCACCAAATCCCTAGCCTTTACAATAATGCCTGACCCCAGAGTAGACACTCAATAACTATGTGTTGAACAAATGGATGGATGATTACATTGTTTATCACATTTGGGTACACCATAATTTATTAAATGATCCCCTATTGGACATTTAGGTTTTCAGTTTTGCCCGCTTTTATGAACAATGAATGCCATGTTGAATAGTCGTGTGTGTGTGTGGTGTGTGGGGGGGTGTGTGTGTGTGTGTGTGTACACTTTTGTACTGTTGTATAGGGTAAATTTCTAGAAGTGGAATTGTGAGTTGAAAGAATATGCACATTTTAAATTTTTAATAGTTGTCTCACTTCCCTAAGAAAAGGGTATTACCAAACCGTAGTACTGCTAAGAGTGTATAAGGACACTCATTTCCATACACCCTTGCCTACACTGGTTATAATCAGCCTTTAAGACTGTTCCAGTCTGATAGATGAAAATGGTATCTCATCTTAACTTCAATTTCCTTCATGATAAGTAAAGTTGAATACCATTTCATGTACTTATTCACCTTTTGTATTTCCTTTTCTCCTTATCTCTTTTCTCCATTGTTCGGTTAGGGAGTTTGGCCTGTATTTTTGCTAGCACATCTTTCTTTGTTTTAGTACATATCCTCTGCCTAGGCTGCAACCAGATCTAACCCCAGAGAACAGTATACATCTGGGCCACAGCTATTCTATGCCTGGAACATTTCTAGTCCTGGTGTTAATGTCTTCGTCTCTTGCGCACATTTTTTATTTGTTTACTTGTTAGTAAAAACAATTATATAAGCACATAGATGTTAGCTATATATTAGGCACCGTACTCAGAACTGTATTTGTTTATCTCTTTAAGCATCACTGCAATCCTATCAGGTGGTAGTGTTTTGTCTCCACTTATGTAATTTATGTATATAAAGCAACAGGGCTGGTGAGATGCAGTAATTTGCCTGAGGTCACAGTAAATGGCCTGGCCAAGCCAGGATTTGAGCCCAGGTGAGGTGGCTCCAGAGCCTGTCCCCCTAACCACTAAGCTCTGTATCCTCCAGTATGGGAAATGGGTTATGTGGCCCAGTCTCACTTTCAAGAGACCTTTTGGCCCATATATTCCCATTCAGAAAAAGGGCAACAGTTGAAACAAGGGAAAGTATTCATGTATAGGTCTGAAAGTTTTTCCTTACATATAAACTAGATTCTGTTACCTGGTTCACAGTTTAAAGAACATAAAAAGGTTCACGGTGAAAAGTTTTATTCCCACCCTTGTCTCATTCACCCTATTTCCCCTGCCCTCTACTTTTGTTAGTTACTGTATATACTTCCTATTTTCTTTATATATCTATAAGCAGGATAAATAAATATACAGATTTGTAATTTTTTCCCTTTCTTACAAAGTAATACACATTTATTTACACTTTGGTTTTTTCACTCAGCTCATCCACAGGTTTAAGTCCATCCTGTTCATCAGCTATTTATTGAGTGCGATATATACAAGGCACTGCATTGGCTTTGTAGGAATATAGAAAGAAGCAGGAGACAGTAGTCTCTGGCCTCAGGGCATTTACAGTCTCTTTCTTCAGGTTGAGCCATAAGCAAATGTAAAGCGAGTGCTCCTGTGGCCTGGTCCTTTCCTGGCTGACTCAGGCTGCAGCACAGAGCTCTGTTGGTCTACTGAAGGCAGGAACGTGAGCCTTTGTCTTTAGGGCAAGACTGAGAGACTTCCTGAATTGTAAGTCTCTTATTTATCTTAATATCCTGTTAGAACTTTATGACTGAACAAATAAATTTGTACTTGTTTTAGACTTCAAGGAAACTAACCATTTTATATCTTTTTCATAAACCCAAAGGGAAGATTTTTAGGATCCTTTTGATTTTAGAATTTATCCTGGCCTGAGGGGTGTTGGATTAAAAGGAAATTTTTCTATGTCAAATATAGAGCCAAAGGAGGCGAACTCATCTGTAGACGGTTTGTTGTACTGCGAGTTGGGGGAGCCTTCTTTTCCCCTTACCGAGGTTTCCGTCTCTGCTTTTCTCCCACCCCTGATAGATAATGGAAAAGACTCAGTTAATCCCAACTATAGCAGAATATTTTAGGGCTGTGAGCAAGCTACCTCTGTTTTATTTGTTTTAGGTCTTGGCTTGTATTTTCTTACAGCTTAATTCTATTAAAAGACTGCTCTGTTCAGAACCCCTCCCACAGTTGTGGACATTCCAGGAACCATGTGGAGACAGTGTGGTGTAGTAGTTAAAAGAGTAGATTCTGAAGCTGGCACTGAAATTCCATTTTTTTTCACTGCCCCCAAGTAGACATTCTCAATGTTAGAAGTCTGTGAATTGAGCCAATTTACTTTTCCCACTGAGCTTTACAGCCAAGGGCAAGAACTAAAAGAGAAAATCTAGCACTTATATTTCTCTAAGTACTTTTCATCAGATCATAATGCATGTTATACATGTTACATGAATGTATTACACACAGGTGCTGTCGAAGCTTCTCTGTGCTTAGCTTTATGTAAGGAGTATTCTTTAAAGGAACATGAATTACAAAGGGAAAAAAGTCAAGTTCTAAAATGAAAGGTCACATGGGGCTAGGAGTAGAAATAGAACGTGGGTTTCCTTTAGCTTCCCACCATTGGCTGCCTCGCTGTTCTTTGAAGAATTATTTGTGGCAGAGACCCTTTCCTTTGGAGACCTGTTGCTGTCACAAGAAAAGAATGTCTTTGGAGCTATATTTTTGGGTACAGGATAGGCTTTCCCCCCGTCCCCCCATATATTTTGTTGTGGGAGTCTGGTGCTTGCTGCAGCAGGCCCAAGTTGGGAGAAGAGAGAAACACTCTGTTGCTCTTTAGAGGGCTGGAGATGGGTGGGGGGACGCGGCCTGTCCGGGTGAGCCTGCTACCCCTGCCTGGCACATCTAGATCCCTGTCTTGCAGGGGCTGCAGGATGAGGGAGTTGCATTGCTTCAGAATCTTTTGGCCATTTGCTCATTTTCTTTGTATCATAATCATTCTAATCTGTTTCCTTAGGCTCTTCATCGAGAAACTACCAAAACATCGAGATTACAAATCAGCTGTCATTCCTGAAAAGAAAGACACACTAAAGGTGGGTCTTCACTCTCACTGGTGCCCATCTAAAAGCTTCAGAGTGGCGCACACTGACTTCAAAGTAAAAGTAGGAGTGTCTGCTTCTGAGCACCAAATCCTGCCGTGGGAGATGAGGACAGTTGGTTCACCAGATCAGTATGAAGTAGCAGGGGGTATTTTAAATTGTTTTTAGAAACATTGTTGCTATTGCCAATTTGACTTCTCTACTTAATTAGCGGGGAATTATTCTGATTCTCAGTATTTTTGTGTATGTCTCAGAAATTAAAGGAGATTGCATTTCCCAAAGCAGAAGAGCTGAAGGCAGAGCTGTTAAAACGATACACCAAAGAATATACAGATCATAATGAAGCAAAAGTGAGTATATAACAACAAAGTAGGGAAATTAGTTTGTTTTCTTAGGCTGCTCTGGGATTATAATATTTCAGCAGATCCTGTGATTTTAATGTGATACTTAACTTTTTTTTTTTTTTTTTGGCAAAGGCCAGAACACAAAAAAGTAGAGCACAAATGTTTAGACTGAGTGTTCTAACACAGATTTAGCCTGCTTGCCCAAGGGGGTGACTTGAGGGACAGAAAATCTATTGCTTGTCTGCTATATCTGGAACAAGAACCTAAAAAACAGTGAAAATTCTCCCTGAAGCATAGGTTTTTAGATCAGAGAATTTGTCAGGTTTGATTCACATTTTGTTATACCTGAAACAGGCTATACCTGTTTGAAATGATTATTTTTCAAGGCATTTTCACGTAATTCTTGGTAGGAAGAGTCAGTTCAAGCTCGTGGAGACACTCCAGGGCACTGTCAGAGGTCTGTGACAGATGGGAGTGCGCCCGGTGGCGGGCCCTCCGCGTTGCTTTGCAGCACTCCGCTCAGCTCTGTGCCGGACTCTGTTGGTGAACATCAGCAGAGAGCTGAGCAGCTATGGGGCATGTGTTTCTAAGACACTGAGTAAGCGAAAGCCTTAATGAAGGAGATTATTACCTAACATTTCTTGTTCATTAAAAATGTCACTCTATATTGAACTGATCACCAGAAAATTACCAAGACTTCATTTTGTGTTGAAAATTCAATGAGACCCCTAACATAGGAGGTATAAGTTTGGATTTGGTTCTGTCTTACATCCCTATTTGGGATAGAGAATATAGACATGAAACAGAGAATAAAACTGTCTCTGATTCTTATTATGATGTGCAAACAATAAGTTGCATTGAGATTTTGTAAAGAAGAAAGTACATTAGAGTCACTGGGAAGAACACTAAGAGGATTAGGACTGTAACTGGCCTTGCAGAATAGGTACATGGTGGCTAGAAAGACAGTAGTGGTGACTCTTCCGTGTGTGTAGGGGTAGAGGGAGCAAGGGAAGCATCAATCCTGTGTTGGGAAATCAGGTCAGAGCAGAGGTACATTTTGGGAAATCCCCCTACTTGCACAGCCTTGTCCTCCTGAGATATGAAGTCACTGAGTGTAGTGTTAGCCTAACTCCTAGTCTTTCTTTGTAGAAGAAGGAGGCGGAAGAATATGCCCGGAACATGGCCATCCAGCAGGAGATGGAAAAGGAAAGACAAAGGGTAGCACAACAGAAGCAGCAACAGCTGGAGCAGGAACAGTTCCGTGCCTTTGAGGAGATGATCCGGAACCAGGAGCTAGAAAAGGAGCGGCTGAAAATTGTGCAGGAGTTTGGGAAGGTGGACCCTGGCCTAGGCGGCCCACTGGTGCCTGACTTGGAGAAGCCCTCCCTAGATGTGTCCCCCACGGCACCTGTTGCATCCACACAGCCCTCAGACTGTAATATAACCATAAGGCCTGCCAAGCCACCTGCGGTGGATAGGTCCTTGAAACCTGGATCGCTGAGCAACTCAGAAAGTAGTGAGTCATTTTGCTCATGTCCTCTTCTATCTTAGCTATAGCTAAACAGTATGTCATTCCAGTGGATTCAGCCTAAGATGACCTCCATGATCCCACTCACTAGGCTGTATTGCCATGCTGCGTCCTATCACACTGGCTATCACACTGGCTGTATTATGAGAGTGGCCTTTGCCTAAGCCATATAATTAACCTGGATCCAGGTCAATTTTCTGAAGAATTAATACTATCCTTGAAAGTCCCACCTTCAGTTTGTAAAGGGCGATACAGAGATTTGAAATGTTCAGTGAACTAGACACCACTATTGGCCTTTTATAAAAGACATTTGAAGTTAATTGTACCACTTTGTAGTATAACAGCTGATTTGATAGGGCAGTGGACTACTGAATTGTGCTTGCCCTGAGAACATTCCTAATCCTTAAGGAGTTTAGTCAGGTAAATACTGGATACAATCTGATAATTCAGTCTAACCATAGAAACTGTTGACAGTCTTCCTCCTTTCACCAGTGGTTGACCGTCTGAGAAAATAATAGCTGCAAAATAAAGAGTATACCTTAATTATTAAAATAGATCTTTTTGGGTAGGAAGATGCTTTCAAGTAATCATTTGAACAAGTCTGCTTTGCAGAAGATCCACTTAAAAGGACACTGTAAGAGTGGGCAAGGTGTGCTAGGCTATGAAGCCTGGCGTTTAGGATTTTTTCCCCCACATACTTGGCAGACTTGCCTGTCACTACTGTTCCTTCATACATACTCTATGCTTTGGTCAAATTGAACTCTCACATTGCCAGAACAGTTCCTGGATGATCTTATCCAAAGAGGTTTGTTAACATTTGCCCTGAACCTAAAATCTCCTTTCTCCATGTCTATCTTCCTGATTGTCTTAAAGTTTTAACAGATCCCCTTCCCTTCAACCAGATTGATTCTGTTCTTAAAACCCTTGGAGCTCTTATTATCTGTAATGCAGTTGAGGTCACTACCTGATAGTGTAGTCATTTGTCAATGACTAGATTTTAACTTCTTGGAGGGTTAGGGTTTGAGTGTTACTCTGTTTTGTATTCCCTGTGGGCTGAACACAGTGTCTACTTGGTAAGTGATTATTGAGTTGAAAGGGAAGCACTGTGCCAAGCCTTAACTCAGAATCCTCAGATACGTCATCAGATTATCATGTGACTGTTTGGCTCGTGGTCTGCCATTGTTACTCTCCAGCAGTTCAGATCTTGCTGTTGAATGTGCAAAAGCAAAATATCCTTTTTTCCTTTTTTTTTTAATGAAAATTTGACTATGAGAGATACCTCCTGATTTTAGCCTGCTGGCTCTCATAGGTTTCTCCTTGGTGTTCAGGGACTGGGTCACATTTTTTTAAAGATGTGATTTATTTTTAGAGAGAGAGGAAGGGAGGGAGGAAGAGAGGGAGAGAAACACTGATATGAGAGAGAAACATCGATCAGTTACTTCTTGTACAAGCCCCAACCAAGAGCCAAACCCACAACCCAGGCATGTGCTCTGACCAGGTATTAAACTGATAACCCCTTGCTTTGCAGGATGATGCCTTTTCTGAGGACCACAATTTCTGTTGTTGTTTTCTTTTACCATTTTAACTTTCTTCTAAATTAATAAATTCAGAATTAAGTAGTTACCCAAATTACTTCCCATTATCTAGAATGTATCCTGGTGTATTTCTTTGAAAGGTTTACTCTTTGATATTCTTATCTTAGATCAAAGAGATTTAAAATAGAAGTGAAAGTTTAATTGAATGAGATTTTTTTCCATCCTTTGTATTAGATGGTGACAGAATTCCTGAATAGCTCAGAAACTTCTTTTCAGTAGTAGTGTACTTTTGTCTTATCTTGAATGATTGAAGCCTCTTTTCTTTTCTTCAAATAATGTACTCCCAACAGCTGTAGCCAGAGATTGGAGAAGAGACTTTACAGCCCTCTTTCTCCTGCCATTTAGGATGAGGTTTCCCACTTGCTGCCTGACCTTGGTTGGGGAGAGGGGACAAGGCGGAGGGGAGCAGTGATTTGGCATCGCTCTCCCAGGGTTGCCAACTCTGAGTCAGTGTGGGGAGGCTCTGCCAGTGGTCTCAGACTTTTCCCCTTTCTCCATTACAGCTCCTACAATCGACGGACTGCGCCACGTGGTGGTGCCCGGGAGGCTGTGCCCGCAGTTTCTCCAACTAGCCAGTGCCAACACTGCTCGGGGAGTCGAGACCTGTGGCATCCTCTGTGGAAAACTGGTAAAAACAAATGCTTTCCTAAGATGAAATTGTTTTTTCCCCCTTGACCTCTGACTCTCAGAGAATACAAACAGGGTCAGTTACTCTTTGTACTGACCCCTCTGCTGAAGGGACCATGGACAGTGTAATACAGATATTGCTTTGAATTTGGTAACTCTGTGTTTGGTTGATTTTCAGAGTCCCTTGAATTGAACTGATTATTTTAATGCTAGTAGTAAGAAATACCTACTTCCACACTTGGTGGGAAGATCCAGTCATTACCTATATATCATTTTTTTCAAGCACCTGCTCTAAGGTGGGACTTGGGGATATGAAATACATAAGGCATGTAGCATGTGTCCACAGAAAGTACCCCAGCACTGTGGAAAGGTGAGGGATATACGCCAAAAGACAAATAGCATTCTGAATAGCATGTGCAATAGGAGCACTAAGAACTTTAAGGAAGGAAAGATTGTTAAATGGAGGCACTTACAGAGCCCATTACTAACTGCTGAAGGAATAAATGAATGACGTGGAATAGACTTACACTGAGCCTTAAAGGATGAGAAGGACTTAGAGAAACAGGAAAAGGGAAACTAAACATGAGCAAGGGAAGAGAAATGGTACTATTTGTGGAACTTCTTGAGAACCACAAGTAGACCCATTTCACTACAGCAGGAAATTGCCCCAGGGCTGCGGGCATCTGTAACTTTTCAGAGCACCCCCCGGGGAATACACATCAGTACCAATGTTGTGAACCACAAGGTGTGGCACTCGGAGCGAGATGTAGACTGGGGTGGGAAGGGCCTTTATTTATACAGATGTTTAACTTTCTACTGTTGTGGCAGAGTAGAGTTGCATGAGTGCCAGGGAATTGTGATAGGCTGTTTTGTCCTTTGACAGATGAGGAATGAATTTACCATCACCCATGTTCTCATCCCCAAGCAAAGTGCTGGGTCTGATTATTGCAACACGGAGAATGAAGAAGAGCTTTTCCTCATCCAGGATCAGCAGGGCCTCATCACACTGGGCTGGATTCATGTAAGCAATTCCGAGCTCTCAGGGTCAGCCTCTTCTCTCACAATGTTATAAACATACTGGTTGCTTTTTTCCTTTGAGCAAAGTGAATTATTCTCAGATTATTTAGATGATTGTGTTTCCCTCCCTTGGATGGAGACTTGACTTCCCTAGCATACATGACTGCTTGTACTCCACTATTGATTTCTGGAAACTACTAAGGGCTTTTAAATTTTATTGAAAAAAAAGTTTTAAAAGTCCTGCCTGGCGTAGCTCAGTGTATTAAGCTCGGGCTGCGAACCAAAGTATTGCAGGTTCGATTCCCAGTCAGGGCACATGCCTGGGTTGCAGGCCATGGCCCCCAGCAACTGCACATTGATGTTTCTCTCTCTCTCTCTCTCTTTCTCCCTCCCTTCCCTCTCTAAAAAATAAATGAATAAAATATTTAAAAAAAAGGTTTTAAATAACAATGAACTTGTTTTCCTAAAGCCCCAGTTCCCTCATGAGTGTGAATGGTGATGGGATGCTGGCCTAGACTATAAGTGGACACAGACTACACCTACTTCATTCATACTCTGTATGTTCCTACAGGTATATAAACCAAAGTACTTTAAATGAGCCAAGGGAGTTAATTCAGATGTTTGCATTTGGTTTTTTGTTAAAGCAGCATATACCATTGTATAAGCCAGAAGGGCCACCAGTATAGGGGATTTTCAAGTGTCTCCATATGTTATGTAGTCTTTTGGTCATATTCAGGTAGAATATAATTCTATCTCGAAAGATTATTTCTTAACTTCCTGTTCCTTTTTAATTCCTCACTCTCACAGACTAAGCTACTTTTTACGTTGTGTGCCAGGGTTACATACAACAAAGTCAGCTCGTTTCTGTGTTTGGGAAGATTACTCACATGTGCATGTTAGCATTTGGGAAACACTGGCCTGTGAGGCAGTCCCGTGTGCCTCTGTCCTTTACTCAGTTTAATTTCACGAATATCTGCCTTTCATCATGCATCCCCATTGGAGAGAAAATGTGTTCCTTATCTGAAGGTGGATACAGATTTGAGTAAGATACGATCTTAGTCTCATGAAGGAGATTAGACACAAACAAATTATAACTCCTCAAATGAGGCAGAATGTGCCAAGTTCTTCAAGAGGAGCAGAGAGCCCTGTGGAATTCAGAGGTGGGAAGGACCATGCTTGGTATGATTTACTAGAATGTTGACCAGATGGGCCAAGAGAGAGTTCCGCATGGAGGGAAAGGCCCTGGAAGAGGCACACGGTGTTCCCGGAGCCTTGAGCGTCGTTTGCTGGCATGTGGTTCGCATAGGAAATGGTAGTAGATAAGCTTTGATATGATACATTGAGTAGATAGACAGAATAGTTGTCCTTTTCAGTAAGTGGAGAACTCTTAAAGTTTGGGGTTTTTTTCCTTTTCTGTATTTGTGATGATTTCTTTCTTTATTAGCATAGTTGACAAACAATATTATATTAGTTGCAGGTATACAACATAGCAATCTGACATTTGGAGTAGAGCAATGACAAATCAAAGCCATACTTCAGAAAATGTAAAACAAAGGCAATTTTAAGATAAGTTGAGGCAAGGAGATCATGTAAGAGATTACTGTGGTAATAAAATCTAATAATGAGAGCCAGGGTGATGTCACTGTGTGTGGGTAGGAGGAGATGAATGTAGGATTGCAGAGGATGTGGGGATGAGTAAGAGGATGATGAGTAGAAGTCAATGATGACGTAGAGACTTGGGGCCTGACTCACAGCAGTGGCAGTGATCATCTCATAAGCAGAAACAGGGACTCCAGGAGGAGGACTTACTTTGGAAGTTGGGTAAATAGTGTTCACTTGTGAGCATGACGATGGTACCAATGAGACATTAAGTTGGTGGAGGTAGTTATCAGACAGTTGGAAATGTGGCTGGAACTTGGGAGCAAAGTGAGGAAATAAAGAGACCTGGGAACCTCTGCATAGAGCTGATCTTCGAAACCTCAAAACTGGAGGACTGGCAGCCTAGGGGAGAGGCTACCTGGGGGGACATAGGAAGTCGGCAGTAGAGAAGCAAAGAGACATAAGGTGAGGGTAGTGTTAAGGCACAGAAGTCAAAGGAGGAGGACTTTCTAAGAAGAAACTTCAGGATGTTAACTATGTCACATTCTGCAGAGAGTTCCAGAATAGCGAAGACCTGGATGAGCCTGTTGGATTTGAGAAAGTCACTAATGACCTCGATTTCGTGAGTTTTAGGCAGTGGTGGGAGTAGATTATAAGGGTTTAAGAAGTGATGGGAATCGAGGTTGTGGTGATAGTAAAATACACACTAATTTTTTGAAGAGCTCATTTCTGAAGGAAAGAGATAGAATGGTAGGCAGCTGGAAGAGTAGCCAGGTTGAGAGAAGATTCACTTGATTTATGGTTTAGTGTGAAAGCTTAAACATGTGTTTTCTGATTTTGTTTTTTTTTTAAACCTTTACATTTGAAATACAACTATATATATAAGTACATAAACTAAATTATGAATCATTTAGCAAACATCTGTGTACACAAACTATAAGAAATAGACATTGTTGAAGAAACAGAACGTTGCCAGAGGCGGCCCCCACCAGTCTCCTGCCCAGTCATGCTCCCCCCCCCCACCATCCTGACTTCTCTGGAAATCCTTTCCGTTTTTTATAGGTTTACCACCTAAACATGTATTCCTAAACAGGATGTTTACTTTTGCCTGCTTTTAAACATTATACTAATAGAATTGTGTAATATGTATTCTTTTGTGTCTGGCTTCTTTTGCTCAATGTTTTTAAGGTTTATCTCCATTCTCAGGTGTAGTTGTCTGCATGTGTGTTTAGCACCCGTGAGCCAGTGGAGGAGATTTTAAAGGGCAGGAGAGACAGGTAATATGGAGGTTGGAAAGTATCAAATCAAATGTAAAAAAGGACATTCACATATGGGAGAGAAACTCTCATTACTCTGAGACAGAATTGAAGGCAGAGTGAAATAAATATACAGAGAGATTTTTGAGGTTATATTTAGAGGAGTTAAGGAAACTCATTTTTGGTGATCTGATTTCAACAAGATTGGAGTCCAGATCCACTGCCCAGTGGGAGGGAGATGGGGGTTTAGGACCTGAAGGAGATGGGGAAAGTGGAATATTTACTGTTCAGACTTCAGAAAGCTTACCCACAGATGAATAACAGGATTTCTAATATCAGTGAGGGCCCAGGTAGGAACAAATTTAGAGCCTAATTGATAGCATTTCAGCTTTCCCCACCCCCCACGATATTTCTTTTCCATTCTTCCTAACTTGGGATTAAAAATAAACAAAAGCAGATCATAAGTGTGCTCCAATTTTAAAGTTGGCAAGAGGAAAATGTAAAAGATCAGTTCTTCCTTCTGCACCTTGCCAGCCACAAACCAAGTTCTCTAGTCAAATGCCTTGCATTGTCATGTTTGATCGTCCCCTGTCCTGTGGCTCCCAACCCAGTATTCAGGGTGCTCCTTTACCTGGTCCCAGCCTGAATTTGCTCCTGTGACCGCTCTGCTCCCGTCCAGGTGCCCAGGCTGCCCTCAGCATCCACTCCCCCTGCTCATTTCTGTTCCTTTGGTACATTGTTTTCTCTCCATAAAAATGCCTTCCTCTGTCCCCAGCATGGTGGACACAGTGGACATACCTATTTTTTCAAGAAACTCAATTGTAAAGGGATGGAGAGGGAGTGAAGGCATAATAGTTAGAGGGAAGCAGAGGCTCAAGGCAAGATTTTTTATTTAGTTTAACAATTATTTATTGAGCCCCTGCTTTGTGTCTCTATATTGTCTTTCTAGCTAACCCAACCTAAGATCAGAGGCCTAGCTCAGCATATAGAGGCCTCATTTCTTCCCAGTTACAGTACTGGTTCTAACCATGGGATAAAATGTGTTGTCCAGCCATCTGTCCTCAGCAGTCTATAGGACCATATTTTCAGATGGAAACTGTTCTTCCCTGTGCTCACCAAAATTCTTACCTGCCCCGTGAGGACCTCTCTCTATTCGGCTAACGGTTCCTGCCCTGCAGACCTCTTCCACAGTAAGCTGGCCACAGTGTTCTGTGGGCTGGTGCTTCTCAGACAAGGTGGCACATAAAGAACCATTTAATGAGCTTTTTAAAAAAGAAAAGCTCCTGGTGTGACTCAGTGGTTTTTTTGCTGGCCTACAAACCGAAAGGTCACTGGTTCGATTCCCAGTCAAGGCACATGCCTGGGTTGGGGGGCCAGGTCCCCAGTTGGGGGTGTTCAAGAAGCAGCCAGTCAATGATGTATCTCTTGCACATTGATGTTTCTCTCCCTAAAAGTAAATAAATAAGTAAAATCTACAATTTAAAAAATACAAAAAGAGAAGTTCCTCTCAGGATGGACATTTCCAGGGGTGGAGCACCTCGGGAGCTTCAGGTTTTGCACAGCAAGTTTGAAAATGGTGGTCAAATATACTTATTTGTTTTCTGTGCTTTTCTGTCAGTTAAGGTTGGTGGTCTTTTTAAGTCATACTGGGCCTTTCTTTTTCCATTCTGGTTATCTAAAATCACACCCCCTCTAAGATGAACATACGTCATTATATATTTGTTCAATTGTGTATAAAAGTGTGCTTAATAAAACATTAAATAACTGAAAACAAATGAAATAAACTGAATATACATTTAGATGGTGCTTTAACTGATTACCCTCAAATTTCAGTATCTTGATCTTTTTCCCAAACAAGACTGGGTCCCTTGTGTGATTTAACTACTCACTGAAATCCTGGTCACCCGCTGCCTCTTAAGTCCTTGGATGATGCACTTGAACTGTTGCCGTCTTTGCCTTTAGAGCCCCAGACTCATGCTTGATCTCACGACACCTCCTTCAGGAAGAAGAGTCATTCATCTAACTGTGGCTTATTAAGTCCTTGACTTCTCCTGTATTGGACAACTGTACCATCTATTCCAGCATGGATGATTCTCATTGTGGAGAGGGAGCGTATGAGGAGTTAAACAAATTGGAGATTATGAGTCTCTTCACACACTCACATTAAACAACCCTTGTTTACACTGCTGGAAAGGAAGCTCATTATCTATTATGAACTTCATGCACACCCCTCATGGCTACAAATGACTTTGTACTTGACAACCAGATTGTGACCAGCTGTTGAGAGCTATCTGACTCTTCCTTCCTACATGGGCTGGGTTAGCCGGGTAGCCTCACTGAGAGGGTCTGACTGCTCTTTCCCTTCTCAGACTCATCCCACACAGACTGCCTTCCTCTCCAGTGTTGACCTGCACACGCACTGCTCCTACCAGATGATGTTGCCGGAGTCCATAGCCATTGTTTGCTCCCCCAAGTTCCAGGAGTAAGTACCTAGGACACCATTCGATGGGGCGTTACAAGGAGACAGTTAAGGAAAAGCCTCAGAGGAAAAGGTGCCGTCTTAAGACCTTGTTCTCTATAAAATAGACTGTGGTATTGACTGGCTGTTCTGAAAGGCTTCCTTTTAAGCCACTTCGCCTGATAAACATGTTATGCTTGTTTGAAAAGATATCCAAGCAACAACTTAGGTGCTTTTCTAAGAAAAGGACATAAGAAATTTGAAGTATTTGACATGAAGCAGTAGGAATTTTAAGAGGTGGATGTCAGATTAGAAATTTCAAAATTGAACAAATTTCTCAATGTTAACTTCTTTTTCATTCTAAATCCTGTTATTCACTGTGAATTCCCCCAGCAAAATTAGTGTGGTGGCAGTGATGAGTCATTCTCTAACTCTGATTCATTCACCAGAGAAGAGACCTATGATCCCACACACTTTGAAGCTGCCCCCAAATGAGCTATGAGCTCGGGGAGGGGGGTGTGATGGGGGGCGCATTTGCTTGATTTTGGGGCTGCCCCAAAATGAGCTATGAGCTCTGCTGTGTGTGTGTGTGTGTGTGTGTGTGTGTGTGTGTGTGTGTGTGTGATGGGGGGCGCATTTGCTTGATTTTGGGTCTGACTTTTCTTTTTTTCAGAACTGGATTCTTTAAACTAACTGATCATGGACTAGAGGAGATTTCTTCCTGTCGCCAGAAAGGATTCCATCCACACAGCAAGGATCCACCGCTCTTCTGTGTAGGTATCTGTGTAGAAGAAACCGGGGCTGTGCCTCAAGCAGGGAGGACAGTTAGAGCTGAGGAGGCACATTGCACTTTGTGACCCATACAGAAGATCAGCCTTATCCACCCGTCTTTTCAGATCGTCCTGATGAGGACGAGCAGGGGGCGAGTGTCACAGGAGCAGGTTGGAGTCGGCTCTGCCGCTTACGGACCGTGTGCCTTTGCTCGAGCTACTCCACCTTCCTGGGCCTCAGCTTCCTCACCTGTAAAAATGGGGGTGATGATAATAATAATACCTACTCTACAGGGTTTTCAAGAGGATTAAATGAAATAATATGCAGAAAGTACCTAGTGCCATAGCTGGCTTATTTATTAATGCTTAGGTTTTTTTTGTTCGTCAACATCAGTTGCTAAGCCTATACTTCAGTATGAGATTTGAAATCAAAGTTAAAAAGCCACTTAAGATAAGTAAAGTATATTTGATTCTGGAATTTTATGTATAAAATAGAGATTCTTACGGACTTCTTAGGAAGTTTTTTCCTGTAAGTTGTGTTCTGTGAATAAAAGGTCTCAGTTGCTGGTAAGATCCTCATGTTTCAGTGTGCCCCTCAAATCTGATGTGGTAGCATTGCTCCACTCCACGCTGCCCATGGAGTGTTATTTCCTTTGGGTTCACTAAAAAGTGACCCATATGGAAAAGAGACTCAGAACCTTGTCACGTAAAAGGAACTGGGGTTGTGCAGAAGAGAAACTCCAGGGAGAATCTGAGAATTGACCTTGATGTTGGGAGAATTGTTATATAATAAGATGTGGGGTGCATCTCTAGGTAGAACCAAAACTACAATCTCACAGAATGACAGTTTTCAGCTGAGAATGAGAACTTTCTGACAGATCTGCTAAAAAATAGGTTAGTCTGTGGAATGGTGTGCCTGAAATCTGTGTGATTTGTTAACTAGTGCCACCCCAATGAATTCAACAAAAAGGAAAAAATATATTAGGCTAAAAACTCTTAGAGAAAAGCATTAGACCAGAAAAAATGGGCTAGTCTTCCTTGAAATGTAATAAATGTCTGGGTGCTGTGATGCTGAAACAGAGGCCGCACTATCCCCCCAGAATGCCCAGGTTTGCAGTTGTAAAAAACCCCTTTACATGCCAAGGAAGCATTCCCCACGTGCAAGTAGGCGAGCTTTATTATCTGGTTGACATAGTGACCCAAAAACTGCAGTGAGTTCAATTCTTTCAGATAGATCTATACCTCTTGAATGACTCTAGAGTGTAGACACATTTGGAAAATAAATGAGGCTGTGCGGGTCCACATTGATTCAGGGTACAGGTGCGGACTGGCGGAAGTAGTGATTCCCAGGCCCCTTACTGAAACTGCCAGTGAAGTGGCAGCCTGGCTTCTGCACTGAGTCATTAGCCACTATGAGCATTTTAAGTAAGAAATTTTAAAGCATGACTTCAGAATTTTCCAGGACTTCCCCTTTCTTTGTTTATCCCTGTTACAGAGCTGCAACCACGTGACCGTTGTGGACAGAGCAGTGACCATCACAGACCTTCGCTGAGAGTTTAACTCAAGCCCCTGTCAAGAACTATAAAACCACATCAGTGTACTGTAGCCCCTTAAGTTAAACTTTCCAGAAAGCTTTGGAAGATTAATTAGACAGGATAGAAAGTGAGTATCACCTGGGGGAGAACCGATTCTCTATTTCTGACTTGAAAAGAAATAATTGAATATATTTTTTAGGCAAGTCTGGAAAATAGCACAGTCATGCTAAAGCAACTTTTCAGTCTGCCTCTAACTAAAAATTAAGTTGAAAGAATGGTATAAAGTCCTGGCTGGGGGGCTCAGTAGGTTGGAGCATAGTCCTGTACACCAAAAGGTTGTGGGTTTGATTCCTGGTCGGGGCACACACCTAAGTTGGGTTCCATCTCCAGCTGGGGCGCGTACAGAAGGCAGCCAGTCAATGTCTGTCCGTCCGTCTGTCTGTCTGTCTCTCCCTCTCTCTCTCTCTCTTCCCCTCCACCCCCACCAACCCCCACTTCTCCTTCTCCCTCTCCTCCTCCCTTCCTCTCTCTAAAATCAATAAAAAAAAATATCCTCAGATGAGGATTAAAAAAGGAAAAAATGGTATAATGAACACTCCTATGTTCTTTGTTCTAGATTCACCAATTGCTAACATTTTTTTTCTTTCAGCTCTCCTAATTTCTCTGCCAACTTGTTTATTGTTTACCTCTGGACTAATTAAGGGCATCTATGCAGAAATGTGGAAGCCATTCAGAAAATCTCTGGGTTTTCCTATGGTTTATGGCAATATTAATGAAGTTTATTACAAGGGCCAGGGACAGCTCACTATGTCTGACCAGATGGTGAGGCTTGAAAACCCTGAAGAATGATTTTTGTCAGGAATTATTTAACACATAGTTCAGGATATTTTTTTCCTCTATAATAAAATAACAGTTAACTTATTTGTGTACGTGTGCTCTAGAGACACCTGTTTGACCAACCATTGTCCAAACAGACTGACTGCAAGGTCTGGTTGTTTGGTGATATGGAATTTGAGATGAACTGCCGTGAAGGTGTGCCCCAGTTCACTTTTAATTGTCCGGTGTTTTTTGTCTACCTATTGCCATCATCCAGAGCTATGAAGTCATCTGTTCGTTTTGGGGCTGTCTCAAGTGGGTCATCCATTCACTTCCTCCTTATGCCCTAAAAGCTTTCAGATGAAGATAATAGAGCCTTTATTTGGAGTGCCAGGTTATGCTCCACATAAATGACTACATTCCCATGCCACCTCACCCTACCAAATTTGTGTGTTAGCTGTTCTTTTCTGACCGGGCAACATTTAGGTAGAAAGGTGTTTAAAGCTGCAATTGATCCTGTGTTTTTCTCTATGAGCTGAGCCTTGTGTTCTAAGGTGGCCTAGAAATAATGTTACTGTTGGTGACCCCTCAGGGTGCAGTTGTAAATAGCTTGGATAAGAAGGCAGAGGTTTCTTTTTACATCAAAATTCTGTGGGAAAAATGTATGAAGTTTTGCTTCATTTTGAAATTTTGTGTCCTAAATATGTTCATTCTTTATCAGTTATGTTAGTAGTCCTTGAAATTTTCCCCTAAAAGCCCAGTCTCTATATTCTTGGTCTTCTCTGGGTTCTTAACCTCCAAGGCATTGGAAATTCTTCCTAACACAATTTCAGTGCAGGTAGGAATGTGGGGCCAAGTGGGGTCAAGTCACCTGTCACTGTCCCCGTTTCCCTGCTGTGACCCCAAGGCAGCCTGGCCTCTTCCACCTTGCTCTCACAGTCCTGCCATTGCCTGGTCCTGTACTTCCCATGAGGTTCGTGCCTTCTGCTCATTCTCAGTGCTACCTTTCACTTGATCTAGTGCAGCAGGCTTTTGCCAGTTCCTTTGTCTTCAGTGTGTCTTGACTCTAGTCTGTTCTGCCCAGTGCATTCAGGAGAAGCTTCCCACATTATGACCATTCTCATCTCTCCTCTCTTGCTCAAAAACCTGCAATAGCTTTCCATTGCCTAAAACCTAAATTTAGCCTTTATTCAGAAATGTGTACATATAATCACATAAAGTTCTTGCCTCTGGCTACACATTCAAATACCTGAGCTTTTAAATACTTGTGTTCTGCCCCCTCCTCCTGACCCCCCACCAGTGAAATACAGTGAAATCTGGGGGTTCCAAAGATGTTTGTGTTTTGTTTGTGTCTTCCTGTCAAGCTATGAGGATCCTTAAGCATAGCTAGGGTCAGCACTGAAAACCAGTGCACCAGTCGTTTATACCTAAGAATTGTGTGCTGTCTTAAATCTCTGCCAATCAGAGGCACTCAGCAAATGTTTGTTGAACCTAGGTGAACTGAATGTATCACATGTTGCAAGCACATTGATCACTTATTGTTTACCAAACTGCCATATTTTCTCTACCTCTGCACCTGTGCACAGGAAGGCTCAGTGGCTGGATGAACTCAGGAAATCAGCGCAGGTGCCCTCTTTGCACCTGCCGCAGTCTGGCCACAGCAGAGGCGCTTTGTACAGGACAGCACATGCCTCTTCACTGCACCTCTGTGGGACAGACTCTTGTGGTGTCAAGGCAGCCCACAGGAGGGAGGGAGGCTGCATAAGCTGGTGAGAGAAAAGGAACCAGAGGTGTAGGGAAAGGAAGAAATGAATGTTGCAAATAAAAGGGAGTTAGACCATGAAACCTGAGGAAAGTTTATAGTAAAAGTACCAACTACTCAGTAACAATACTGACTCCTGGGCCTCTGAAAGTCTTCCCACTCTCCCGAGCCACACAAATGCCATGTTGACCGGCCTGGGCTGAGGGGAAAAGAAAGGCCATGTCTGGCTGCAGAGACGCAGACCCTCTGCAGTTTCACAGACCAGGTGCAGAGACTCCAGGGAAGCTGCTTTGCTGGGTGTGAGGGCGGGGATGCATTTTATTTGTTTGTTTGTTTTTGATGACCACTTTCAAATACTCCTAGGTAAAGGAGACTGAAGAGGAGGGAGAAACCACTTGAGCTGCCTCACACACTGGACACTTAAAAGGCAGCCTGGGGAGAAGTGGTCCCCAGTGGGGCTGGTGTCATAGTGGATATCTGTAGCTTTGAAGGCAAGGATTTTAACTCTCGGTTTGGCAACCCAGGATTTAAAATCATAATATCTATCCCCTTTTGACTGTAGATTGCTTCTTCTGGGTTTCAGTTACCCCGGTGGAAGGGAAACTTGTTCATGTGGGGTTGAGAGGAATGGCGTGTGCGAGGAGCAGAGCTGAGGGCGTGAGGGCCCAGTGCATCCTGCATCTTTGGTCTGTTTCAAAGGGATTTGGGGAACAGTTTTAGGACAAGACCAGATGTTGTTCTCCGGAACACAGTTTGCCTGTAGGTACTGTGCCTCCCTCCCCCTCCACCTGGCATCTCGGTGCTTTAACCCCACCTGGTTTTGGAGACCAGTTTGTCCAAAGATCTTTCAGTCCTGTGAGCCCAGAGTGGTACTTCTGAGTCAAGGCTCATTTCTCTTTGTGGGGAGCTTTGCTTCAGGCACTGAGAAGGCCTATTTAGATCAGGACCATTGAAACATTTAAGACTTTGTTTCTAGGCACAGCTGTTCATTCACCAGCAAGTCACTTACCTTCCCAAATTCTTTATAATCTGTAAAATGAGGTCAGTTTAATATGCCTACCTCAAATAAGGGTGGAATGAAATCTATATGGAACTCTGAGAGTCGTAAGATGATACTATAAAGACCTAAGATACTTGTTACTTGTATCTCTCAAAATGTTGGAGTAGAGGTGCAGTTGCTTCCACCTACTAGACCTCTACTCAGTCCAGCTTCCAGCTAGAGGACTCTTTATTGTTTGTAACTAGCTGGCCCTCAGCTGCAAATATCTTGCCTGGTCTGCCCTGATATTCTGAGCTGGAAAACAGAACCTCAAGAGCCAGAAGAAACTTTCTGAATGTCTACTCATATTCCCAAAGACTGAGAGCAGAGCCAAGACCTGAAGATTGCACCAGGTCTTTTATCCTTCGGCTCCACCCTGCTCTGATTAGAACCTCTCACTTTGTTCCACCTCTTTCTTGAGATGAAAGGAGAGGAAGAGAACTTTAACTCTCTTTACAGAAGTCTTCACGCCTTCATCCTGAGTTGAAATTTTTGTTAACCTTAGCTTACTTGGTGTTAAAGTAGGACCTTACACTTATAGGATGTGTCCAGTATCATTCATTGTTCCAGTTAGACCTGGAATCCAGCCCCATTGTGCTGCATAACCAGGCCTCTTGTGTCCTTTGGTGATCAAACCTGCTTTCTTTAGGGCTTGGTTCCAGTTTGATCTCCTGCAGTGTCTACTGGTCGGTTCACTCCAAGGGCTTCTCCTTCTTTGAACTGTGGTCATTTATAGCATGTGTCTCACAATTTCATGTGTATGTGGTTTGTTTATACCATTTTTGTTTATTTTTTTTTGCTGGTTTGCAGTGTTTTCTCATTGTCTTCTTACATGAGTCATGCCTCTTAACTGTCATGTAAACTCTGTACAGGTAGGGACCATGTTGCTTTTTAGCACTGTGTTGAGTGCGTTTTAGTCATCCTAGCACTTCCTTACTGCTTTTTGCTCAGCTTTTCCTTGAAATAGTCGCCATGGTGTTGAAGTATGTGTTAGGAAGCCAGTTGAACCTATGCCCTAACCTTGAGGAGCTCTACCTTTACCTTGTAGGAAGGATCTAAATGCCATGGCTCAGACATGGTGTCTTGGTCCTGTGCTGCCACCCCAGAGTCACCTGTGCCTGACGTCTGAACATGAGCATTAGCTCTCAGCAGAGAGAGCCAGGTGTTGAGCTCTACTTCCAGCTGCCAGGACAGACGGCTTTCCTGCCCAACAGGCTCACTCAGTGGGTGGTCCAAGAAGGCGTACCTGCAATGAAGACTGAAAGGGAGAGCTTGTAGAGGTGAAGGGAGACCAGGAGATAGTGATACCACTATATTGTTACAGAAACCATGGAAGACAACAGTTTAAAGGAAGGAGGAGAGTAGTGTCAGATGGCTCAGGAGAAATTTTCTGGGCTGAGGACAAAGCTGATTCCAAGATGTGATCTGGCACTTAGCAGAGGTCTTCCCTGACATCCCCACCTAAAACACTTCCACTCCATCACCCTACGATAGCTGTTTTACTGTCTGTACTGCACTGTCATTAGCTGAAGTCATCCTGTTGGTTTATTTGTAGCTTATGTATCTCCTTAAGTAACTCCTTAAAAACAGCAACTTTGCCTTGTTCATCCTTGTATTCTCAGCTCCCATCACAGTGCCTGACACTCAATAAGGTAGAACAAATGCATAGACTTGTCCAAAGTGACCCAGTTAGTAAGTGGGAAGGCTTTGGTTGGGGGTGAGGGACAGAGCAGTAAATATGCACACATTTTGACTAGTGATTTTAAAGACTGTACAATTTAAAAATTAACAAGTTAATCATACAATAGGTTAACTTTTAGAAGGTAAAAGAAGGAAAGCATGAGAAAATACTACATATATAGTCATTTGTCTTTATTTAGAAATGAGTGATAATGCAATATCACAAATCAAACTTCTGAAATTTCCACAAATTGTACAAAGAAGGAAATTTAGAACTTTAAATGCTTTAATTATTTAATAAAGAATCAAAAGATATGAGTTAAGCATTTGACTCATATTAGGAAAAAGAATGAGATATACTAGGAAAGCCAAAAAGAAAGAAATATGAAAGCAGATATTACTAAGTTTTAAAATGAGAGAATTGGTAGACATATTGATAGTCATTCTTCCGGGGGCGGGGGGGGGCAGTAAAATAGCCAGAGACAAAAAAATTAGATATAAAAAATGCACATTATAAAAAGTCCTATGTAGGACTTCTGCTCAAGATGGAGGCATACATAAACACATCTTGCCTCCTTGCACAACTATGGCAAAATTATAACTAGACTACAAAACAAGTGTCACCCAGAAACATCAGAAAATCAAACTGTATGAAAGTCCAACAAACAAGGATTTAAAGAAAGCACATTCATCCAGACAGGTAGGAGGGCCAGCTATGTGCAAAGAAGCACCGAGAGGTGGAAAGGCCCAGAGACAGGCACCCAGTCACAGAACAGGTGGTCCCACATCCATGTGTGGTGGATAGAGCTTGAAGGGCTATCTTGGAATCAAGGGATCACAGCCCCAGACCATACCATCCAGCCCAGGGTTCCATCGCCAGGAAGATAAGTCCCCATAACTTCTGGCTGTGAAAACCAGTGGAGGTTGGGGTGGTGAAAGAAACTGTGGGGTTCTCAAGAGACTCTCAAAGGGCCTGCAATGGACTTAGGACTCATGCAGACCCAACCCCTCTGGGATTTAGCACCAGGGGCAACAGCTGGAAGGGCACCAGTGGCATATGGGGAGAAAGCAAAGTGACTGGCAACAGGGCAAGTGCCGGGAGACAGCTTCCTCCCAGGTAAAGCTTCTGAGGCCAGGTAGTGGCATTGTCCCCTTGTGAGCCCTCCCCCACACAGCAACAGTGGTGGCATGAGTTGCCCTGCCCTGGTGATTACCTAAGGCTCCACCCCATCCAGCTTACAGGTGTACCTTTCTACAATAGGCCATGCTTCTAAGACAGGGAGTCAAAGCAGCTCTACCTAGAGCTGCTAATAATACATAGAAACAAACAAAGGGTGGCTGCCACATTGAGGAGACAAAGATATATGGCCCAAGTGAAAGAATAGAACAAAACCCCAGAAAAACTAAATAAAACGGAGATAAGCAACCTATCAGATGCAGAGTTCAAAACACTGCTTATCATGATGCTCAAGGAACTCATTGGGAACTTCAACAGCATAAAAAAGACTCAGAAATGAAGGGTACATTGAAATATGTAAAGAAATACATGAAATAAAGTATATATTAAAGTGAAGTAAAGAAAAATCTACAGGGAACCAACAGTGGAAGGGATGAAGCCAAGAATCAAATCAACAATTTGGAACACAAGGAAGAAAAAAACATTCAATCAGCAGCAAGAAGAAAAAAATTTAAAAAAACAAGGATAGGCTAAGGAGCCTCTGTGACATCTCCAGACGTACTGACATCCAAATCATAGGGGTACCTGAAGGAGAAGAGGAAGAGCAAGAAATTGAAAACTTATTTGAAAAAAAATAAAACTTTCCTAATTGGGGGAAGGAAATATACAACGCCAGGAAGGAGAGAGTCCCAAAGAATATGGGCCCAAAGAGGACCATACCAAGATACACCGTAACTAAAATGCCAAAGGTTAAAGATAAAGAGAGAATCTTAAAAGCAGCAAGAGAAAAGCAGAGAGTTACCTACAAAGGAGTTCCCATAAGACTGACAGCTGATTTCTCAAAAGAAACCTTTCAATCAAGAAGGGACTGGCAAGAAGTATTCAAAGTGATGAAAAGCAAAGATTTACAACCTAGAGTACTCTGTCCATCAAAGCTATGACTTAGAATTGAAGGGCAGATAAAGTGCTTCCCAGATAAGGTAAAGTTAAAGGGGTTCATCATCACTAAGCCATTGTTACATGAAATGTTAAAAGGAATTATATAAGAAAAAGAAGATCAAAACATGAACATTAAATGGCAATAAATTCATAATTATCAACAATTGAATCTAAAAAAACAAGCCAAGCAAACAAGTAGAACAAATACAATCATAGATACAGAGATCATTTGAAAGGTTATCAGCTGGGTGAGGGAAGGGAGAGAATGGGGGGAAAGGTGCAGGGATTAAGAAGTACAACTGATAGGTACAAAATGGATAGGGGGAAGTTAAGAGAACGGAGCAGTCAAATAACTAATATGCATGACCTGTGGATATGAACTGGGGGCAGAAATTGCTGGAGGGAATGAGGGTACAAGGTAGAGGGGGACAGGGGAAAAATTGGGACAACTGTAATAGCATAATCAATTTTTAAAAAATTTAAAATAAATTCCTATGTATAACTAGGCTAATGAATTTGCTACTCAATAAAATAGGTGATTTTTTTGGTAAAAAAAAATACATGTGCATGAAACCACAATTAAGTAAAGGATTTGAAAAATCAATATTCAATGAAGAAGTAGAAAAAAGTATTAGCTCCAGGTGCTTCTATGAATGAGTTCTTCAAACTTGTAAGGAACAGACCATTGTTATTGCCTTTTTATTGTAAAAAAGAAATCAACCTACAATTTGCCATATAAACCCTTTTAAGTGTACAGTTCAGTAATGTCAAGTATGCATACATTATTGTAACACCAATCTCCAAAACTTTTTCATCTTGCAAAAGTGAAACTCTGCACCCATTGAACAGCATCTCCCTTTTTCCCCTTCAGATTCTGATAACCGCCTTTTTTTTCTGTCTCAATGAATTTGACTTCTTTAAATCATACAGTATTTGTCTTCTTGTGACTTGCTTATTTTACTTAGATAAGGTACTCAAGGTTCATCTATATTGTAACATGTTAGAATTTCCTTCTTAAGGCTGAATAATATTCTGTTGTGTGCATGTGACACATTTTGTTTATCCATTCATCCAATAGTTGACATTTGGATTGCCTCCACTTCCTGGATATTGTGAATAATGCTGCTGTTGAATGTATAAATATCTTGCTGTTTTAACTGCTGTAAAGCATAGGAAAATAAGAAAGCCAATATAATTCATTTCTGTGAACACACCTAATAAATTGTGTATACACACATACATATACTTCACACCATTTTCAATAATATAGATGTAAAAAATGCTAAATAAAGCACTAACAAATTCATCAATATGGTAATGGAATGATGTTTAATAACTGCCAGCATTTATTGTGCAGCTCTGTTTAGAATTTGCCCATGACCCCTCAGCTAGTAAGTGGTGGAATAGAAAGGCAGCACAGGTCTGCCTGACTCCAGAGCCCAGGATGCATTCAGTGAGTTTGTTGAGAAGGTAATGATGGACCCATAAAGAAATCCACTGATATGATACATCACATAAGTTGGTCAAAAGAGAAAAGAAACAGACTCGAGTCTCTCATAGATAATGAAGTATTTGAAGATGAAAGTCAATATTATTTATTTTTAAAACTCCCCTAGTAAATTAGGAAAGAAAGAAATTTCATTGACATGTTAAAACATCTTCTGAAACAACACCTAGCATCATTTTTAATAAATAATGTCAGGGAAAAGACAAACCTATCCTGAGTAGTATTCCTCAATAGTGTCCTGAGAGGTTAATCTAGCCAATGTAATGAAGCAGGGTAAAGGAGACACAGTTTTTGGCTGCAAACTGTCCACCTAGAAATCTGAACATAATCATAAAAAACATCTAACAAGACAGCAGCAAGGATGTCCAGTAAAATATATACATAAAACTTCTAAAATAGCTTTCTAGTACAGGTAATAGTTGTGATTGGGAGAGGAAAAAGTTCATTCACCCTAGCAACCACAACTATAAACTACTTTGGAACAAAATTAACAGGAAGCATGCAGGACTTACATGAAGAAAACTAACTTCTAAGGTTCACAGCAGGACATGAAGAAAGTAGATAGGTAAGCTATATTCCATGAGGGAAGACTTACTGCTTAAAAAATGTTAACCTTTCTCTAATCCATAAACTTACATGCAAATCTACAAAAATGTTTTATCAACTTGAATATTTAAAAATTTATCTGGAATAAGTGAAATAATTATTTTTAATTGAAAGAAGAAGAATGTTGGGAGAAATTTTATTACCAGATAACTCTTATTATAAACCTGTGTTAGAATAATATCATACTGGTGGAGGACTAAATTAAGAATTTGCAAGCTTCATTTCTGAAGGGGATAAGACTTAAGTTGTCGAAGTCCACAAAACTCTAAGTGAGTGGTGTCAGATTTCCAAACCACATTCTTTTTTAAAAATTGCTCAGTTACAGTTGTCTCCATTTCCCCCCCATGACTCTCCTCTGCCTTACCTACTGCCTGCCTCCCACATTCAGCCCTCCCCCCACCTCGTCATCTTTGTCTATGGGTCCTTTATACAGGTTTCTTGACCCTTCCCCTTCTCTCCCCGGTTCTCCCCCTCCTCCCGCCCCTCTGGTCACTACCAAACCACATTCTTAACCAAAATGCAATATTACCTTCCGAAAATATACACAGATACATCCATTAGTAAAAGGCCTGAGAAGCAAGTACACCAAAATATTAATATTAGTTATCTGTAGGTGATGGAATTATGACCTTTTTCCCCCTCTATACTTTTTTTGAATTTGCCAAATATTCTACAGAGAACACATATTGCTTTTATAATTGGACAGAAAGGACATTTCTAATATTTTCAGAAACCAAACCTCCACTACCCTGTCAGTGTGGGAATCCAGCCATGACCTTATTCTTGGACAGCGCCAGTGGAGGGGCCTTGGGAATGCTCTTGGGCACAGCCGCAGAGGCATGTCATATATGGAGACCTTCCATGAGGATGACCTCACCACTGGAACCCATTCAACATAAACCTTGCCTGCAAGAGCTGGTGGAGATCTTTGGACAAAAACCTGGAGAGTGAAGGCCCGAGAAAGAACTGAAGAAGTCCAGTGTGTCCGTCTGGCCTTAGTCAGTCTCCTCTGTGATGAGTGCTAGGGAAGGATTACTTTTCCCCACCTCCATGTCCTCCAAAAAAGAACCCCCACACTGGTCCAGGGTTATTCCTTTTTCCCAGGCCTGAGGGAGAGCACGAGATGTTACTGTCTTTGGAGAAGTGGTAATGGGTTACTGGTGGGTGAAAGAAGTGGGAACATCACCTAGACTAAAAGAAGAAGAAGAGACCATTTTTAGATAATCCTAAATCATTCTCTGTAACTGGCTTCCTCATCCCTGGCAGCCTTGCCTCTTCACCTCACTTCAGCTTTAAAAAGCCAACAGCATCATACCCAAGCACATTTCCATCGAAATAGGGTCCAGCCATCGACAGCGCTGGCCCCTCTGCCACCTTGGACAGCTCTGAAGTCCCTGGGCCCACCACACTTCAGCATCCATGTCCACAACCTCTCTCCCCCCTCATTACCAACTCTAGAGGCAAAAAGTCCCCCATGAGTGCTGGGTATTGAAGGGCCATAACAGGGCTCTAGTCAAAGACTGGCCTCACATTTATAAAAATTGGGGCAGTAGGCTTGTGTCAAGCTCCAGAGGAGGTACACTGCCTAGGTGCCATCCCGTGTTCAGCCTCATGCAATCTCAGCTCCCAGGATACATGCTGAAACTCCGCTTCCAGAGTCTGCCCTCCTTGATGGATTCCCTTCTCACCACAAGGTGTTATCAAACTTCTAAGACAGCGAAAAATGTTGTCTAAACTCTAACTTTTATCAGGCCCTGAGGGGTCTCCTCCTATTTTGGCTTTTCACCTCCTTCACTGGACTTGTTCAAGGGTATTTTAGCTAGAACGAGTCAAAGCCCAGGAATTCATATGCCAACTGTAGGAAAAGCAGGATCAGCATTTGCAGTAACACTTTGAAAGTCAGATGGATTCTAAATTATTTGCATGATGTCATTATGGGAGAACCTTACCTTTGGAATGCAAGTGATGCTTCTAATAGTTCTCAGCTCATACCAAATTGCAACTATATTTTTTCCCTCAGCATCAGGAGAGGGTGTGGTGCTAAGGTT